AGATGGCATTTTTCCACTCTTTCACCTAAATCTGGTTCTGCTGGTGACAGACCTTTACCTCTCCAGAACAATCAAGAAATTTTCCAGACCAGGCTACATTTAGATTCAATTTTTGAAGTTTCTCATTAAAAATAACAACAACAACAAAAACATTGTCAGCATATTTTATTTTTTCTTTTGAGACTATTGTCTAATCTAATTATCTAAAAAAAAAAAACTGCAACAAGTCAAAAATGTTGTTCTTTCTTGATATAACTAGTTTTTGAATTAAGGTCTCTGGATATATATATAAGGAAACATAATAACTAATACTTCATCTTAACCAAGGTGAAATGGAAAACAGATGCCACAGAATCTGCCTTCACTTCAGGTGCAGTGCACACATCCAGTCCTTTCAATATCAATCTCAATATCTCTGAGCCTTTTTTTTTTTTTATCTCAAGATTCCTTTCTATTCTTTTAAAAATTTATTTTATTTGAGCATAGTTGTCACACAATGTTACACTAGTTTCAGGTGTACAACATAATGACTGGACAAGCTTATACATTAAGCTTTGCCCCCAACAAGTATAGCTGCCATCTGCACCATACAATGAATGGTATTATAGCACCAACTATATTTCCTATGCTCTGGCTTTTATTCCATGACTTATTTATTCCTTAACTGGCTTATATGTTCCACTCCCCTTCACCCATTTTGCCCATCCCCTCAATCCTCCTCCCCTCTGACAGTATCAGTTTGTGCCCTGTATTTTTATAGGTCTGATTCTGCATTTTGTTTTATTTATTTTTTATTTATTTATTTTTAAAATATTTTATTTATTTATTTGACAGAGAGAGACACAGCGAGAGAGGGAACACAAGCAGGGGGAGTGGGAGAGGGAGAAGCAGGCTTCCCACGGAGCAGGGAGCCCGATGCGGGGCTCGATCCCAGGACCCTGGGATCATGACCTGAGCCGAAGGCAGACGCTTAACGACTGAGCCACCCAGGCATCCCTCTGCATTTTGTTTTAGATTCCACATATGTGTGAGCTTTAAGTAAAGGAGTACCCATTGTTAACATTGTGGAATATCATGTATTCATGACATAGAAAGGGAGCTGGGTTTAGGTTTTCCTAAATAAAAAGTTGAGATCCTAACGTAAGGAGACATGGGGGACTTTATTTTTTAGGACAAAAATCTATTTTTATATGACCACTGGAAAAGATTTTTTTCCTTTAAAGGAGTAAACATATAACTGCATTTGTGGGGTTTTTTTCTTCTTAGTCTGAAAAAATTTAATCTTATTACAGAATACATCTGCCCTTACTCTTGCCTTTAACTATATCTCTGGTACATTTTAAAATATATAATAAATTCAAAGGATAAAGACTCTCAACAATGTGGTATCTCCTTCAGTTTCACTTGAAATGGAGCAAGTATTGCCTGAAGACATTTTATCCATTTGAGGAAGATGTCTTTTATCCCTAGTTTTCTGAGTTTTTAATTATGAATGTTATTTTTTCAAAAATTCTTCTGCATATCTTGAAATGATCAGATAATTTTACTTGTTATTTGGAATGATTACATGGGTTGATTTTCATATGTTAAACTAATCTTACATTCCAGAAAGTAAATCTCAATAACCATGATGTCTTTGCCATTTTATATTATTGTTCAGTAAGATTACTTAACAAGTTGTTAAGGAATTTTTGTGTCTGTGTTAATGCAATGTATTGGTCTATGATACTCATTTCTGGTAATGTCTTTAAGAAGTTTTGGTGTCAGGGTTATTTATATTGGTCTCAAAAATGAGTTGAAACATCCTCCTCTTCCTTGTTTCTGAAAAATTTGTGTAGAGTTAGTATTTTTCCTTAATTTTTAAAAATTTATCAGTAAAACTATCTGGGTCTATGCTTTTCTTTCTGGGAAGGTTTTTGATAATGGATTCATTTTATTTAATAATTATGAGTCTAGTCACATATTTATTATTTAATCATGTGTCTGTTTTGCTAAATTAGTTTTACATGGAGCTCATCTATTTCACTTAAATAAATGCTGAATTTATTGCCATAAAATTGTTAATAATATTTCCCATTATTCTTTAAAATCTATATAATTATAAAACTTGCATCAGTCCTGATAATGGTAATTTGTGTTTTCTCTTTATTTATCAGTCCTTCTAGGAGTTAATCAATTTTAATAATCTTTACAAAAAATCAAATTTGGGATTTTTTGTTCTAATTTATTTAAACTTTGATTCTGTCTTAAAGCTTTATTATTTATTCTAACTTTGAATTTATTTTGATATTTTCCTAATTTTAAAGCAAGGATTTAAAACACTGTTTAAGTGGCTCAGTTGGTTAAGTATCTGCCTTTGGCTCAGGTCACGATCTGGGGGTCCTAGAATCAAACCCCACCTTGGGCTCCCTGCTCAGCCGGGAGTGTGCTTCTCCCTCTCTCCCTACCCCTACCCCCTGCTCATCCTCTCTCTTTTTCTCAAATAAATAAGTAAAATAAAAAAGAAAAAACTTTTAATTTTTTTTCTAATATAAGACATTAAAGTTATAAATTCTCCTTGAACTTTTTGCAGTATTCCATAATTTTTAATACTATGTTATTGTTTAGTTGCTTCTTTTTTATAAGTGTGAATTGTGATTTCTGTTTGACCACTGGTTATTTAGAAAGAACTATTTTAAAAAATATTTGTGTATTTTCTATATAATTTTGTTTTTGATTTCTAATTCAACTGTTTGGTGATTAAAGAACATGCCCTAGGGATTATGCAAGGAATTAATGGATCATGCCTATGTACAATTTTATAAATCTCAAATTTAATAATATTGTTTCATGAACCTGAAATATTTCCTCTTTCAGAGTATTTAAAACAGAAATGTTCATAACCATGGTTGAACATCAAAATTTCTTCAGGAGTGTATAAATGTACATTGGCTAGATCCAAACCTAGAGATTCAGATATGATGAGGCAAGTAATCTTAATGAATGTTCTCAGTTAAAAAACAACAACTATGTGGATGGAGCTAGAAAGTATTATGCTAAGTGAAATGAGTTACTCAGAGAAAGACAAATACCATTATGATTTCACTCATATGTGGAATTTAAGGAAAAAAAAATAAGTAAAGGTTAAAAAAAATGAGAGAGAAAAAGAGAGGCAAACCAGGAAACAGACACTTAACTACAGGGAACAAACTGATGGTTACCAGAGGTGAGATGGGTGGGGGAATGGGTTAAAATAGGTGATGGGGCTTGTAATGAGCACTGGGTGTTATATGGAAGTGTGGAATCATCATATTGTACACATGAAACTAATATTACACTGTATGTTAACTAACAGGAATTTAAATAAAAACTTTTTTTTAAAGATTTTATTTATTTATTTGACAGAGAGAGAGAGAGAGGGAGAGAGGGAACACAAGCAGGGGGAGTGGGAGAGGGTGAAGCAGGCTTCCTGCTGAGCAGGTAGCCCGATGCAGGGCTCGATCCCAGGATCCTAGGACCATAACCTGAGCCGAAGGCAGACGCTTAACCAACTGAGCCACCCAGGCGCCCCTTAGATAAAAACTTTTTAAAAAACCACTGGACTAGACAACTTTTTAATCAACATATCCTAAATTTTATTCAATTAAAGTCATTTAATTTTTTTAAAAGATTTATTTATTTGAGAGAGAAAGAAAGAGAAAATGAGTTGGGGGCAGGGGTTTGAGGGTTGAGCCGGGAGCCCAACTCAGGGCTTGATGTCAGGATCCCAAGATCATGACCCCAGCCGAAATCAAGAGCCAGATGCTCAAATGACTGAGTCATCCAGACACTCCTATTTTTTTAAAAGATTTATTTATTTGTTTGAGAGAGAGAGAGAGGGCAGGGGCAGAGGGAAATGGACATAGAGTCTCTGCACTGAGCGTGGAGCCCAGTATAGGGCTGGATCCCATGACCCTGAGATCACTACCTTAGCTGAAACCAAGAGTCAGGAGGCCTAACCAACAGTGCCACCCAGGTGCCCCAAAATCATTTAAATTTTTATAGAGTGACAAAAATGTGCCACGTTTTGTGCTGGGAAATAGAGCCTAAATAATCAAGATATTTATTTTAATGTACTTTATTCCTCAATTTTTTTTCAACAAGTATAGTTGACATACAATGTTACATTAATTTCAGGTGTACAACATAGTGATTAGACTTCTCTATACATTATGCTATGCTCATCACAAGTGTAGCTACCATTTGTCACCATACAACACTATTACAGTGTCAATGCCTATACTCCCTATGCTGTGCCTTTTATTCTCATGCCTTAGTCATTCCATAACTGCAAGCCTCTATCTTTCACTCCCCTTCACATAATTTGCACCCCCCAAGTAACCATCACTTCTCTCTGTCTATGGATCTGGTTCTGTTTTTTGTTTATTCACTTGAGTTTTGTTTGTTTGTTTGTTTAGATTCTACAATGTACTTCTTTCTTAATAATTATGTAATGTCAAAATAAGTAAAATACGATGTGAGCATGTGTGTTTGTATGTGTGTATAAGCCCAAAACTCACATGTGATCAACAATGGCTTTATTTCTGTAATGTAATAGGATGTTGTAAAATAATATTTCTCTATCAGATCTTAATATATGTCTCCATTACAAATAAATGAAATAGGATTATAAAATTCCTCTTTGTGAGAATAAACATGTTCACATAGTACTCAAACAAATGGAAACTTTTAAATGAAAAATACTTTACAACACAGTTTTCTCAGATGTTCTTAAAGAACAAAAAATTTAAAAAAATTAAAATCCATACCAATACTTACAGTGCACACTGACACACACACACACACACACACATACTCATTCACAGACATACAAGTATGCCATTGAATGATTTGGACTTGCTTAAGTTTGAGAATATTTTGAGGATCTGATTTTGCTTAAGCAGTGCTTCTAAAGTGATGTCTTTGCTAAAATTCAATTGCAAGAGAATTTGGAGCATGAGATAGAGAAAAATAATTCAACCATGAATTCACAATTTTTAAAAAAGTCTATTTCAGATATGGCAATTGGGTAATTTTTAAAATGTTTCTATCTACTTTGTTTAGTTATGCTGAAGTTTGTGCTAAAAGCACATTTACTCATCTTTATTTTTTCTAGGATGAAGTAATCTTACATAATAGTAGAGAACTGAGAATGCAAAATATTTCTCTAGTTGGTGATGGCAAGTGCTTGCACATAATAATGATCATTAAATACAGTGATTTTATATAAATTAATTAAAACCTTTCCCTCTTATTTTAATAGCCAAAAAATAAACTTTGGAACATATGATAATTACATTCCAGGTAAGAAAGAATTCAATATTTATTTTTGAAGCATATTAATTTTAGGATTATGATTACTTTTAAGGATAAATGATTATTATCCTTTATTCAAGGTGATAAAGCAGTAGCTCATGGAATATCATTAAAAATTAACTTTCTCATGGACTTGGCAAACACTTTCTAAAGATACTTTGTTTTTGAACCCAACAAAGTTTAAGCAAATATGTCCAGCAACATAAAGGTGTTATGTTAGAAATCATACATGTTAGAAATCATACAATCAGATAATCTTACAGTTGAAAAGTAGTGTAGAAACGGGATAAACAATTCACCCATGTCCGCAATGACTTCTACTACATTTGTGATAGACTATATCCACCTTAGAAATGGCCAAAAATTCACCAATCTGATGTTGAAGGACTTCATATATCGAAGGATTTTCCCTCAAATATTGAACTTAAATATGACTTTCTGTATATTTTCTCATTGATCCTGTTTTAGGAGATACACAAGAAAGTGTATTTTCTCTTACATGAAGTATTATACTGCACATGTTTAAATGAAATGAAAATCTCTCTCACTCCCACTGGTACCCCAAACATCTTTAAACATTTCTCATAGTTTCCAGGTAACCTTTCCCTCACAGTCACAATTCTGTAGGTACTCTTTATTTGTAGTTTACTTCATTAATATGCCACTTATAACAACAATGCAGTTCTTATGTGTATAACATTTACTCTTGTAGCTTGGAAAATTATTACTGACTAAATGAACCTTAAGCATTAGCATTTAGATTCAATTATATATTTACTGAATATTTTATAACAAGTACTGTCTGTGCTAAGTACTTTGGAGGCTACAGAAGTCGTTATCATATTTTCTGATCTCAAAAGAATTGTATTCTAACCAAAAGAATCTAAAGCAAAAATCTAGACTGGGAGAGATAGAAGATTAAAAGAAAGTAGTAAAGATCTTTTTTGCATTTATATTACAGACCATATTAGTTTCACAATGACTGTATAGTTTTCTGTAAAACTGATCAAAATAGAAAAAAATTTTATTTTATTTTCATATAATGATAGCAGAGAATTTCAAACATAACTAAATAAATTAAGCCGTAATTTGTATCATTTGTTCATTCATGAAATCTATTATCTTACTGCCATTTAAGTTCTGATGAAATATTACTTACTCTAAAACATTTAATGTCTTCTTATTTTAGTCAGTGAATTAAGCAAAAAATCATGGAATCAGCAACACTTTGCCCTGAGATTTCCCAAACCACCAAGGCCAGGAAAAAAAAGGAGATCAAAACCATCCCAACTGCGAGACAATGCATTTCCTGTGAGTACTGGAAAGATCATCTAATTTTACTAGTGCTAAATTTGTGAAATCATGTATAGTTATATGTGTTACAGATCAGCGCTGACCAGTGGGATTTCTGTGATGATGGAAATATTTTATGTCTTTGCATTCCAATGTGGCTATTGAACATTTAAAATGAGGCTAGTGCAACTGAGGAATTGAATTTTACATCTCTATTCAATTCAGTTCAATTCACTTGTGGCTTTTAAATACCATATTGGACAGCACAGTTAAAGGTAATTCAAATTCTACTACATAAAGGAAGTAGATCGTTTTATTTGCATTTCACTGTATAAATATTGTTCCCTTATTTCATATTAACTATTTCTTTAGTAACCCCACACTATAGAAAATATGTGTTCAAGAAGCACAAAAATCTGGAGATCCTAATGCTACAGTTAGTATGAACATTCAGAAAATGTCCTCCAGCTGGGGAAACTCCCTCATTAGAATCATGGGATTATATTATACCTTGATAAAGTGCTTCCTCATTTTCTGTAATGTAGCATTCAGGATTCTAAAAATTAGAAGATAAGTATTTCTCAATGTTTCTAGAGTCATCATGGGATATGAAATGTTTTTTAAAAAGTTTTACAAGATAAAAGTATCATCAACTCTTGTTTATTTTAGGGAGTGTTTCCAATCAGTAGTGATCCTAGCTTATTCTGTCATCTCGCACTCTTTGCCTTTCCTTTCTTTCTTTATTCTATTTATTTTTCCATTGTTTGTTAACATCACTTCCAAAGTTTGCTACTTTTGCAATTAAGATTTTGCAAATACTTGGTTAGGAGTTGAAAACAAAATGCATTATTCTGCACAAATTTATGTGCACCGAATGTTACAGCTTTTATTATTGTAGTTTCCTATCTGATAATACTCAATTTACATCTTGCTAAGCAAGAGTTTCAGGTTTCTACTTTTAACTACAGTTGGCATTCCAAATTCCAGAGACTTTGAATGTGATAATAGAGACCAGGATATGCCTGAACATGAAACTATTACATATTAGAGAACAATTAGTTTCTGTGTTAGCCTAAGAATGGAAAGTGGGCAAGATATTCTAAGAATTCTTGAGAACATTGAGAGAGGGGGGAGAAAAAAGCCCTCTCCTGATTATGAAGAGAGATTCTGATACGTCATTAGTCAGTGAGGTCTCTACCAATTTTAACATAATATCTTGAGGGAATTATGAAGATCCTCTATAATGAAATAAGGCTCACAATGAGACATGACTATCCATTTGTCCAAAAAAGAATTAAATTGGAAAAGCAGAATAAGTTATGACATCTACAATTTATCCACTATTTATCAAAACCTAAAATCTTTTAATGGTTGAAGTTAAAATGTATTTGGTATGTGGTAATAAAAGCTGTGTAACATACAAATTGTTCATTATTATTCTAACCAATATTCCAGATATATGATTCAGACAAAATAAAAGAAGGTCATAAACAACCGTTATGGATGCACAGTTCTTTAATGAGAATTTCTGAGAGACCATCCGAATATTTAGCTGCCAGGAGGCAGCTTCAATATAAAGCAACCCATCGCCCAAAGGAAGATGCTAAAGTAGCAGATGTAGAAAAACGTTTATCTCCAGAAACACGTAAGAAAGGTAAAGAAGACAAGCAAGCAGACAAGAAGGACATATCAGAATCAGAAATAGAACCCACAGTTTTAAAGGAGCCAAAAATAACTAAGAGAGAGCCAAAGAAAGATAAGGATATAGAAACAGGAACTAAAGATGAAAAAGATGCAAAAACAGATGCCAAAAAAGAAAGAAAAGATTCAAAGAAGGGCAAGGAGTCAGGTACAGAATCTGAAGATGAAAAGAAAGATGCCAAGAAAGATGCCAAGAAAGAGAAGAAAGCTTCAAAGAAAGGCAAGGAGTCAGGTACAGAATCTGAAGATGAAAAGAAAGACACCAAGAAAGAGAAGAAAGCTTCAAAGAAGGGCAAGGAACCTGCTACAGAATTTGAAGATGAAAAGAAAGACACCAAGAAAGAGAAGAAAGCTTCAAAGGGCAAGGAATCTGCTACAGAATTTGAAGATGCCAAGAAAGATGCCAAAAAGGACAAGAAAGGTTCAAAGAAGGGCAAGGAATCTGCTACAGAATTTGAAGATGCCAAGAAAGATGCCAAAAAGGACAAGAAAGGTTCAAAGAAGGGCAAAGGGTCTACAGAATCTGAAGATGCAAAGAAGGATAAGGATGGGGAAAGAGATACAAAGAAACCAGGAGAGAATGATGATCAATCAAAAGACAAGAAAGATGCAAAGAGAAAGGGGAGTAAAAAAGGTAAGAAAGAAGAAAAGAAGGCCAGTGGGACAGATATTGAATCAAAGGATGATGCTAAGAAGGATGGCAAGAAGGATGGCAAGAAGGATGGCAAGAAGGATGCCAAGAAGGATGCCAAGAAGGGCAAGTAAGCCTTGAATAATAATTTGAAAGCATGTGATAAACAATTTTAGGAGTCTGAAACTGAATATGAGTGACAAGGGGATTCAAAGAACTAATCAAATAATTTTTAAAATGGGGTGAAGAGTACAAAGAAAGATTCAGAAAAGCATCATAAAAATATAAGAAAGTTATGAAAAATTAAGAGACAATTCTTTGAAGGACTTGGAGGATATTTATGCTAAGTTTGGGGATATGAAAGATTCAATGAAAGATGCTTAGAAAGATTCAAAGAAGAATATTCAAATCAGGATGTAGAAATTAATGACACTGGATCTGTGGATACAAAAAACAAACAAACAAACAAACAAACAAACAAATAAATAAATAAATAAATAAATAAAGGCTTAAAAAAAAGATCCAAGGAGGCAGATGTTCAATCTATATAATCAAACAGTCTGAAGCTGCATCCACAGATTTAAATAAAGAACCACAGGAGTAATCAGAGGTAGTCAAAAAAATTTCAGAAACTGTACTTTCAAATAAATACAAATACAAATACAAATTAAAGATAGCATTCATTAAAAAAGAAGAAAGAAAGAAAGAAAGAAAGAAAGAAAGAAAGAAAGAAAGAAAGAAAGAAAGAAAGAAAGAAAGAAAGTAAGAAAATATGATTTCCTTGTGAAACTATACCACCATCCCTGAAGTGTAAATAGCCACAACCAGGTTGATGGATGTTGAATGTTCCACTTCCAAGCCAAGATAAACACACTTGGTAAGTTAGTTTTGTTTTATATTAAGTCAAATTGGATTAAACAATAATTGAGTCAATTTAAAGTTTGAATTGAAATCTATAATTTTTTTTAAAGATTTTATTTATTTATTTGAGAGAGAGAGAATGAGAGAAAGAGAGCATGAGAGGGAGGAGGGTCAGAGGGAGAAGCAGACTCCCTGCCGAGCAGGGAGCCCGATGAGGGACTCGATCCTGGGACTCCAGGATCATGACCTGAGCCGAAGGCAGTCGCTTAACCAACTGAGCCACCCAGGTGCCCCGAAATCTATAATTCTTATAAAAATTTGTGTAATCTGCTGACTATGTTTTTACTGGAATTTGGCAGAATTTAGTAGCATTTACTTTGGGCTTTCTCATTAATAAGAAATTACTGATGAATTTGGCGAGAATACCACAGAATGAAGACTTTAAAAGTATCAATGAAAAAGTTAAGTAGAATTATGAGAGAGGAGACTGACTTATGATACATGATAACTTTAACAATTACTTATCAAGAGGTTTTTTTTTCTTCAAGCAGAAAATAGTAGCCAGCTTCTCTCCATTTAAGATAAGATGAAAATCAAAATTTTCCAAACTACCAACATACATAAATTTAAATAAGGCATATTAAAGTGATGCCTGATAAATTGCTAATACATATACAAAACCAGATTCACCAGAATTCAACAGAGTCTAGCAAAGTGATAGCATCTATATATTATTTAGATGTGAAAACAATTAATTTTACATCTTTATAACAATATTAAACTCCCTTGTGATCCTTAGGTCCTATTAATGTGAAGAAAAATAAAAAGCAACATAAAGCAAAATGCAAAACTCTTCAAATATCCAACTAATAGCAATTAAATCTCCTTGACCTTCTCTCAGGTAAACTCAAAATTGTTGCAGAACCTGCTAAGTGATTTTCTCTCCTTTTTATCCCTTCCAATATAAATTCTGGATGCAAAATAAAGCTTCTCCTTGATACTCCTAGTTCCACATGTTTTCAAGAACTAGCTTTCTATGAATAATGAGGTACTGTCTTACCTGCTCTTTAAACATTGGCCCCTGTTACTCTACATCAACTACTGAAGGATTCATGGCCATTTGTAACTTGTGGTCTTTCAGGTGGCCTTATCTTGCATATCTGAATCAGCTGTAATGATGAAGAGTCAAATCCTGCCCCAATTTTCTCTCCCTCTTCCAAGAACTCATCTTTCCTCTCCCTCTGCTTATAAGTAAAATTCTATATTCAGATTTTCAAAATTTTCTGGAAATGTTAGCATCTCTCTGAGGATTTAGGGAATCATTTAAAATCCCCTATTCCTCTAAAACAAAGCCCTTAGATTATTTTCTAACATGGTATTCAAAAATTATGTTTGAGAATAAAATGTAATGTATAGTGTAAGAATAACTGAGCTCCTACCTTTACCATTCTACTGAAATGCACGAAGGTCCCCCAACCTCTTGGAGTTCCAATTGCAGTGCCTTTTTATCCTAACCCCTCTTTTCTGTCTATATATTTCTTTAAAATTATTCCATTCCATTCCCATGGCTTTATACATCATTCGTATTCTGTTGAAACCCACATTTTAAATCCAGTACTGATTTTTCCACTCAGTTCCAAAATCATGTGTCCAAATATTAAGTTAAAGCATCTGCTTGACTGTCTTCCAGACAACTCAAAATTAACATGTCCCAAAGAAAACTCAATACTTCTCCACCCAAACCTTTTTCCCCAGGTTTTCACCAACTCAGTAATGATGATGACATCTAACTTGTGATTCAATCAGAAATTGGTGGGTCATTCATAATTCTCCTTTCTTTTTTCTTTTTCACCATGCTTATCTATTATTAAGTCCTGCCTGGCTACCACCGAAATATTTGAATTGGTCTACTTCACTCCATTTCTATCACTTCTACACTAGAAGTCTAATCACATTATATTTCACTTGGAAATCCCAAAGCCCCCTAAATGCAGGGAAAGCCGCCTACTTCATCTCTCACCACCACCCAACATCCCATTCTCACCACAGAAATCATCATGTTCCTCTATCATTCTAAATCTTCTAAGGTACTGATGTTACATTTAACATAAGCTTTTCTTTGGCTCTAGCTTTAATAATCTGGCTTCTGACTACTTACCTGCCTTCATGTGGTAGCAAAATTGTCTACCATGCTCTTGTCACACTGGATTTCTTTCTATATTTAACTATACAGATCATAACAGTTTCAAGGCTTCAAACTTGTTTCCTCTGCCTATAACCCAGTTCTAGAACTTCATATTGCTGACTCCAAATTATTTATTTTCAGCTTAAATTTTGCCTTTCCAGACATATTTTATATTTAGAGCATTTTTAGGTTCACAGAAAAATTGATGAGAAGGTGCAGAGATTTCCCACTTATGGCACGTATAGCCACACATGCATAGCTTTCCTCCCATTTGTCAACATCTGCCACCAGAGTAGTGTATTTGTTACAATTAATAAGCCTGCATTGATGTATCATTATCACCCAAAACACATAATTTATATTAGGTTTCACTCTTGGTGGTGTACATTCTATGTTTTTTTTAAATGTATGATGACATATATCAACCCTTACAGTATCATACAGAGTAATTTCATTGCCCTAAAAATCCTCTGTGCTTTACTGTTTCATTCTATCCTTCCCTTTTATGTCTGGCAACCACTGATCTTTTTACTATCTCCAGAGTCATATAGCTGAAATCATAGAATAGGTAGCTTTTTCAGGCAGGCTTCTTTCATTTAGTTATATGCATTTAATAGTCCTCTATGTCTTTTCATGTCTTGGTAGCTCATTTCTTTTTAGCGCTGAATAATATTACATTGTCTAGATGTACCATAGATTATTTATCCATTCATATACCCAAAGACACCTTAGTTGACTGTAAATTTTGGCAATAATGAATAAAGATGCTATAAACATTCATGTGCAGCTTTTTGCAAGGACATATGTTTTCAACTTATTTGAGAAAATACCATGGAGTGCAATGGCTGGATTATATGATAAGAATATGTTTAGTTTTCTGACAAGTATTTTATGCTTAAAAAATCGCTAAGAGGGGATCTTATGTTAAGTTTTTATCACACAAATGATGATAATACATTAAAAGGGTGGAAGGAAACTTTTGGAGGTTATGGATATGTTTATGGTATAGATTGTGGGAATGGTTTCACAGGTGTATATGTGTATGCTTATCTCCAAAATCATCAGGTCATCAGGTTGCATACATTAAATTTGCACAGCTCTTTGAGTGTCATATAATTATAGATATAGATATAGCACACACATATAAAAGACACTTCTAAACTGTCTTTTATAATGGCTCTACCATTTTGTATTCCCACTAGCAATGAATGAGAGTTCCTATAGCTCCATACCCTCCCCCAGCATTTTGTGTTGCCACTGTTTCAGATTTTGGTCATTCTAATAGGCATGTAGTGGTATCTCACTGTTGTTTTGATTTGCATTTCCCTGATGGCATATAATGTGGAACATTTTTTCATATGCTTATTTGCCAGCTATCTTCTTTGGTGAGGTATCTGCTAAGGTCTTTAGTTTATTTTTTATCAGGTGGCTTGTTTCCCTGATTATTGAATTTTAAGAGCTCTTCATATATTTTAGATAACAGTCCTTTATCAGGTATGTCTTTTCCAAGTATTTTCTCCCAGTGTGTGGCTTATCTTTTGTTTTCTAAACAGTGTCTTTCACAGAGCAGATTTTTTATTTTAATGAAGTTTAGCTAATCATTTTTTTTCTTTCACGGATTGTGCATTTGGTGCTGTATCTAAAAAGTCATCAGCAAACCCACAGTCATATAGATTTTCTCCTATATTCTAGGAATTTTATAGTTTTGCATTTTACATTTAGGTCTGTAGTCCTTTTGATATAGACATATTTCACTGCCCGCTCTCTCATTATTCATTTCCCTATTACCAGTAACTTCTATCTTCTAACATGCTTTATTCTATGTAACATACACAACCACCTGTCTGTGTGTCTATATCTATCTATCTATCTATCTATCTATCATCTAAATCATGTTTGCATATTGCCTCTCTTTCCCACAAGAATAAAAGCTCCACTAGGAAAATTATGTGACTTATTTACTGCTTGTACCTTCAGTATACAGAACTATCGCAAGCATGTAGGACACAGTCATTAACTATAGATTAGGTAAATGAATAAATACAATTTGGAGTATCTAGTGAAAAGTATCACTTAGTTGGATTGAGCTTTTCCAAAATCCCAAACTGAAACATACCAGTCTCAGTAAAGTCAAACTAAAATAATCATCAGTGTCCTTTCAAAAAGGGGAAAGTCCCAAAGAAGGTAATTTTGATGGTTAGTGGCAATTTGGACAGCAGACTGCAGTGTTCTCTTAACGTGATGATGTATGGGAAATTTTATGAATTATGTAGTGATTTTATGAACTATATGTATATATAAGCTACCAGAACTTGTTGTTTTTTTGTTTGTTTGTTTTTATCTCTGATCAATCATGCTTGCTTGTTTTTGCACA